GCAATAACAGTGTTAAAAATATTTACACGTCTATTACTTATTAGTAATTTAGATACCAAATCACTAAATATTTGTATAGTTAAAAATAATCAAGAGCACTCAGATTTGAACTGAAACTAAAAAGTTTGAAGCTTTACATTCTACCATTAAATTATACTCTTAAGACTCTTACTTAAATAATTAGCGAGTAATTATAATTAGTAGAACTGAACTAATTAGGCATTTAAACTTAACTAGATTTTTATTTAAAACAGATTTAAAGTAAGTTACTCGTGCTTCGTGGCATACAGTACCAAGACTTCGGAGATTTCAACCATCGCATGCATCACCGGCAGCGACACCGGTATTAAGTCTAGTAAGCCAGTCATATGGGCCTGTTTTGTCTTGATATGCGACGAAAGTCACGAAACTTACATGCGCACAAATCAGAGGCCTACAGTAAACTCAGGACTTTCTCCCGCTGCCATACGTACTGTACTCCGTAATTCTTCCGTCCGCTTCACCCCCCCCCCCCTTTTTCCCCTGCTTCCCCGTCACCACATACCCGCCACCCCCAAAGCCACTCACGATCTGTTGATGCCATCTGTACGATCCGCAACGGGGTGGCTTTCATACAAGCCTTGGGCTTGCCCATATGTATGCACGTTGGCTCCTTGTAAACAGCTTCAAACTCCACCCTCCTTCATCCGCACCTATAGAGTGGAATTATCAATAGCACCCCGCTCCCCATACCCCAGACTCTCAAAATATCCCTAGTAGGATACGCATCGGCCCATTCATCGAGACACTCTAAACAGTTAATACCCCAGAATAACTGTCTCGTGAAGCATGGTAGCTTGAAGATTGCTTCTAGAACCATGTCAGTTCACGGTGCTCATGGACCACGACTGGTAGCTTGATGCGCTACAAATATCTCTACATGTCCTCTTCCCAAGTCTACGTTCTCTCCAAAGGTCAGAGGTTTTGACTTTCCTTTCTCTATTCAATTTTGAGGCCATAGCCTATACATCAAGATGGCAAAACTACCCAAGATCTACAATACCTACTTCGTGGCGCTGATTGCGACTGTCGGTGGCATGCTGTAAGATATCCCGTCGTTTAAAAGAAACATCCTCTAACCTTGTGGTAGTTTCGGTTTCGATATCTCGTCGATGAGCGCCATTGTCGGCACCGACCAATACATCAAGTACTTCGATGACCCCCATGGCATCGTCCAAGGTGCCATTGGGTCTTCGCTTGCTGCTGGGTCCGTCGTTGGGTCCCTGATGGCAGGTCCCATTTCTGACAAATGGGGACGAAGGGATTCGATCTTCTTTGCCTGTCTCTGGTGGCTCATTGGAACAGCCGTCCAGGTCGCCTGTAAGAACTATGGACAACTCATAGCTGGACGCATCCTAAACGGTGTCTGCGTCGGAATTACATCCTCCCAAGTTCCAGTCTATCTCGCCGAGATTGCGAAGAAGGAGAAGCGTGGAAGTATTATCGTCATTCAACAGCTTGCTATTGAATGGGGTATCTTCATCATGTTCTTCACTGGTTATGGATGTTCATTCATCGCTGGAACTGCATCTTTCAGAACAGCTTGGGGTGTTCAATTCGTGCCCGCCGTCTTGCTCATGATTGGGCTGCCGTTTTTGCCTCGCTCGCCACGATGTAAGTCCTTCATCACCAACCCTTGGAGCCTCTTTTGCGATTGCATATTCAAGAGTAGGTTGTTTGTCAAATCAACTAACCAATAGGACAGGGCTCGCCAAAGTCGGCAGGGAAGAAGAGGCCATCCAGACGCTTGCAGATATTCAAGCCCACGGCAATATTCAAGACCCTCTCGTCGTTGCTGAGTGGGAGGAGATCTCCACCGTCATGCAGGCCGAGCGCGAGTCTCCTCGCGGATGGAGAAAGTTCATCAAGAATGGCATGTGGCGTCGTACTTTGGCCGGAATGAGTGTTCAGTAAGTCTCAATTAGTACGATCCAGCCATTGGCCTTTTCTAACGACATCCAGGGCTTGGCAACAAATGTCTGGTGCTAACGTGATGACTTATTATGTTGTAAGTTATCCCTGATCCGCTATTGTACGAATAGAGCAAACCGGGGAGTGAGCGTCGATCGGTTAATTTTGGCAAATAAGACACCAATCCTTCGTCAAGATATCTTGAAGAAAGACTGGGAGGAGCTTGGGCGAGCTGCACTGTCCCTTTTCATACACGTTGCTAAACTTGGTACAGGTCTATGTTTTCCAAATGGCAGGACTCAACGGCAATACCAACCTCGTTTCCTCCGGTGTCCAATATGCGCTCTTCATCATCTTCACCTCCGCCGTCTTCTTCTTCATCGACAAAACTGGACGCCGACCACTCCTCATCTACGGTGCCATCGGTATGGGTGTCTGCCAATTTGTCGTCGGTGGTCTCATGGGCACATATGGCGTCTCGGTCCCGGGTGGTGTGGGCAGCCCGCCAAACTCCAACGTTGTCATAGAGGTCCAGGGTCATCCCGCCCATGCGATCATTGCATTCTGCTACCTTTTGATCATCATCTATGCTCTTACACTTGCCCCTGTCGCTTGGGTCTACGCAGCTGAAGTTTGGTCTTTGGACACTCGAGCCACCGGCATGTCCCTGGCTGCTGTCGCTAATTGGTAGGCTCTCCCCCCCGCTCTTGTCATTCCCAGAACCAATTAATAACCCTCCCTCAGGCTCTTCAACTTTGCACTTGGCCTCTTCACCCCACCCGCCTTCCGCAACATCACCTACAAGATCTTCATTATCTTCGGCATCCTCTGCTTCGCCGCCGCGGTCCAGGCTTTCTTCACATACCCCGAGACCTGCGGCAAGACATTGGAGGAGATCGAGGTCCTCTTTAGTGATGGTGGACCACGAGCATGGAAAACTCAGCCTGGCGGATCGAGACTCGATGCGGAAATTGAGGCGGTAAGAGATAGGAAAGCACACGGAGAGGATCTGTACCAGACCGTTAGTGCAGCCAGGGGAGTGGACGGCGAGGAGAAAGGTACAGGGGCGACCACTGGCACGCGGCATGTGGAGGGTGGGAATGTGGTTCAGGATAAGATTTAAAGGAATAGTCACCAAGCTGGGGAGCTGTGGCTGGGAGCGGGTTTTGCACGGTATGGTAGGATTGGTTATGGCGGAGCTACAAAATACCATTCTCTTCAGAAGCTGGGATGGGTGGACAGATTTCGGTTGTCTGGTATTTGTGGAGAAGAAACATCGCATCATGGACCTGTACATAAGTCCTTTACTTGGCACGTCCCTATGCCCCAAGGGAGGCCCCCAGGACAATTAGTCGGCTGGACGCAAATTACTACTACTAGGATAGTATTTAACTTACTTGTTTGTTAGAGACGAGGGCATTGACTTTCATGGGCACGGGCTCTGATGAGAGGATTTCTACCTTGGTCGCCCCTCGAATCAAAACTGGGGATTACTCTTCCGCGACTACGATGAGCATGCAATTGAAAGCTCGGCTCGACGATCCCTCGAGCGGCTCTTCTTGGCCAGGAACGCTGGCTGGGGAGGGAGCCAAAGCCAGTACTCGACAAAAGCGATGGCAAGATCCGTCGCCGTCTTACAGTATGGCTTCTACAGTAGCAACCGAGTAAACGGCGATGGGCCTGCTTTCTCCACAGGAATATCGCTGCAAATATCCGAGTCAAATATACGTCTCGAAATATACGGCTCGAAATATACGACTCAAAATACGAAGTATATAAGTAAGTACGAGTCAAATTTACCACGTTGTACGAGCATCCCTCTGTACATTCTACAGGGGGGACAAATGTAAAATGACGCGATACTCGGCAATATTTGACCAATGGCGGACCGTCTATTATCCTAGCCTGGTGATTGGTGTTGAAGCTTCCGAAAATCAGGTGATATTACCTCAATTTTACCTTTGTTTGGCCTGTAGGCAACCAACCTTGAATCGCACGGGATCGGGATTCGGGATCCGGTGCTGTGCTGTGCTGTGACTTCTGTGAGATCATGAGATGGCGGGGCCAAATCGAGAACGGTCATGTGATAACAAAGGAGCCCCAATTCTTGGAGGCAACTCTCCTTCACTTCTCTCCTTCACCCATCCTTCACCCCCTTCAACCCCTTCACCCCTTTGACCCCTTTCACCCCTTCACCCTTTCACCCCCTTCACGCCTTATCTCCTTCCCCCCTTGTCTCCTCACCCCTTCACTCCTTTACTTCTTTACTGTACTGTCACTCCTCAACCTCCAGCCGCCGAACCAGAGATTATGTTTCCCCCTCTGCCTCCCCCTCTGCCTCCCCATCTCCCTCCCCCCTCCTGATTCTTCATCAAGAATCTCCTCCCTGCACCCATCGAGCCAGCTCTACTCGAGTATCCCTCAGTTACACGGCGTCTCACGGTCCTGTCTCCCCGCACACCACCCAATTGGTTCCCCAATCGCCATGCACACATGCGGCGCTGAGCAGCGCATATTGCCTAAAGCCAGCCTCACTTCCATCGCATCCTGGTGTCTCCCAATATTATCTTGCCGCTCGACGACCAACGCGACCTGGCCGACTCTTGCTGAGGTATCTCCCCATTCCAACAAGTACTGTACGTGGGCATTGGATGGCACCACTCGACGAACCAATCCATCGTCCACGCCCCCCGCATGGGGAGAATGAAAGCTCGCGCCAGAGAGCGGACAAACCACTTCGCAGCCCCGTCGATCGGCACTGGATAGGCCGTCCATGCCCAGGGGGGATTGCGAGCTATGTCTGGGTCTGGTGGTTCGCAGTGGGCAGATCCAGGTCTGTCGATGGGCCCGAGCTGTGGGAGTGTGGATGGCGAGGGGAAGCATCAGTGTTGGGCCGTCAAGGAGGATAGTCCGGCACATCAAGCATGGAAGTTCATTGCGAGACCGACGGTCCAGCTCCTGGAGCAGCATCGGAGGGAGTTGGTGAGCAAGGAGATGGATCTCATGGTGGAGATATTCATGATTGGGACCGAGGCGGAGTTGGCGAGTCCCACGGTGTTGTTTAGTTGCCAGAATAAGAGGGTGCGCCAGAAGGCTATTGAGTTGGTGAATGGGAGTGGGATTTTGAGGGAGCATCCGGGCGTGTTGACGGCGGAGTGTTCAAGGAGACGGAGGCCGTTGGCGATGGAGGAGACGGAGGAGGTCCCTGCTT